GAAGTGAGTGAAGTGGAGAAGGCCGCTCGCTGGCGATGATGAGAAGTAGACGAGGGGCGTTCGTTGGTCATGGAGCAGCTAGCCCACGCAACCTGTAGTTCTGTAGAGTAACATGCGTGTAGTAGCGTCGATAAAAAAACTGACGGTGGTAGCAATACGACGTCAATGGTTGTCAACTTTCTCGCTGTACTCAGTTTGCTCGTCCGATGCGCTAAACCGTTTCGAACTCGAATGGTGACTTAGTAGAACATGTGGAGACGTTTGGCGTTTGGCACGCCCGATTTGGATGACCCTTACTTAAGTATACCGAACACGCTTCGCTTTGCTACCGGTAGTCTCATTTGACACTCGATAGCCTTTGCAGCCGTACCAAAACGCAGCTTGGATTTTTGTTTTTGTTTTTTGTTTTTGTTTTTTGTTTTTGTTTTTCGGGTTGTCGGTGCATGGCCGACCGATGGCGCTGCCTGCTGAGAAGCAGCTATCAACACTCTCAACAATGAAACGACCACTAACTTTGGCCTGGATGGACATGATGCTGGCCCTATTGGAGAAGCGCTACGGCCCAGACGCCTCGCCGGCAGTGTACTGGCATTGCTTGTTGGCCGGATAGTGACAGCTTCAGCTAGATTGATGGTACGTCTGCATCGTAGGCGCGAGAGACTAGACTAGTTGACTAGTTACGGAGTGGGCGACGGCTGTGGATGCGGCCTCAAACCCGAGTGCCCCAAGCTCTCTCATCTTCCAATTCGCCTTCTCCGCCACACTCGGCCACCAACCAACCCCAAATCAACCCACCGAATCGCACGTTCATCTCTGACATGCACTCCAAGATCGTTGCCCTGTTCAGCCTGTGTGCCGCTGCCTCCATCCTGCAGGCGGCTGACGCTGGCGCTTCTCCTGTGGGCGTCTCGCCGCGCCGCCACCTCGGCTCCAGGGAGGACTACGGACACCACCCGCGCCACCACGACCATGACCATGACCACGACCACGACCACGGGAAGAATCACCGCCACCACGATGACAAGCACCCGTCGCACTACTATTACCGTCGCCGTCTCGAAGACGCCAAGGCCACCGAGTCCAAGGACTACAAGGACGACCATGGCAAGGACGACTACGACTACGGCAAGGACCGCAAGGATCGCAAGGACGGCTACGAGCACAAGCGGTACGGCGGTCACGACGACTATGACGATGACTACAAGGGATACGGCTACAAGAGCTACGGCGGAGACTGCGATGACTACGGAAAGGGTCGCCACGACAAGGACGACTACAGCTACGGCAAGGCCTACTACGGCAAGGATGACTACAGCTACGGCAAGGCCTACTACGGCAAAGACTACTACGGCAAGGACGACTACAGCTACGGCAAGGACGTCTATGGATACGACGGATACAAGTACGGCTCCAGCTACTACCCGGACTACTACTCGTCGTACGGATACAGCTACTACCCGGACTACTACTCGTCCTACGGCGGCGGCGGTGACTTTGGCTACGGCTATGGTTACAACTACCCCGGCAACTTCGGCTATGCTAGCTACGGCTATGGCTACCCTGGTTACCCTGGTTACCCTGGCTACCCTGGCTACGGCTACGGCTATGAGTCCGCGACGACGGACGGTGCTGAGGCTGGCCAGAAGGAGTCCGCCACGGCGCCTGCTACCGCTACGGACGTTGCGTCCAACAAGTCGGCGGAGAAGGAGGACAAGACGCCGCCCAAGGAGAAGGAGACCACCAAGTCCGGCGCCACGGACAAGGCCAAGGGCAAGTAAGTGGAGTGAAGTGAAGTGAAGTGGAGAAGGCCGCTCGCTGGCGATGATGAAAAGTAGACGAGGGGCGTTCGTTGGTCATGGAGCAGCTAGCCCACGGAACCTGTAGTTCTGTAGAGTAACATGCGTGTAGTAGCGTCGATAAAAAAACTGGCGGTGGTAGCAATACGACGTCAATGGTTGTCAACTTTCTCGCTGTACTCAGTTTGCTCGTCCGATGCGCTAAACCGTTTCGAACTCGAATGGTGACTTAGTAGAACATGTGGAGACGTTTGGCGTTTGGCACGCCCGATTTGGATGACCCTTACTTAAGTATACCGAACACGCTTCGCTTTGCTACCGGTAGTCTCATTTGACACTCGATAGCCTTTGCAGCCGTACCAAAACGCAGCTTGGATTTTTGTTTTTGTTTTTTGTTTTTGTTTTTCGGGTTGTCGGTGCATGGCCGACCGATGGCGCTGCCTACTGAGAAGCAGCTATCAACACTCTCAACAATGAAACGACCACTAACTTTGGCCTGGATGGACATGATGCTGGCCATATTGGAGAAGCGCTACGGCCCAGACGCCTCGCCGGCAGTGTACTGGCATTGCTTGTTGGCCGGATAGTGACAGCTTCAGCTAGATTGATGGTACGTCTGCATCGTAGGCGCGAGAGACTAGACTAGTTGACTAGTTACGGAGTGGGCGACGGCTGTGGATGCGGCCTCAAACCCGAGTGCCCCAAGCTCTCTCATCTTCCAATTCGCCTTCTCCGCCACACTCGGCCACCAACCAACCCCAAATCAACCCACCGAATCGCACGTTCATCTCTGACATGCACTCCAAGATCGTTGCCCTGTTCAGCCTGTGTGCCGCTGCCTCCATTCTGCAGGCGGCTGACGCTGGCGCTTCTCCTGTGGGCGTCTCGCCGCGCCGCCACCTCGGCTCCAGGGAGGACTACGGACACCACCCGCGCCACCACGACCATGACCATGACCACGACCACGACCACGGGAAGAATCACCGCCACCACGATGACAAGCACCCGTCGCACTACTATTACCGTCGCCGTCTCGAAGACGCCAAGGCCACCGAGTCCAAGGACTACAAGGACGACCATGGCAAGGACGACTACGACTACGGCAAGGACCGCAAGGATCGCAAGGACGGCTACGAGCACAAGCGGTACGGCGGTCACGACGACTATGACGATGACTACAAGGGATACGGCTACAAGAGCTACGGCGGAGACTGCGATGACTACGGAAAGGGTCGCCACGACAAGGACGACTACAGCTACGGCAAGGCCTACTACGGCAAAGACTACTACGGCAAGGACGACTACAGCTACGGCAAGGACGTCTATGGATACGACGGATACAAGTACGGCTCCAGCTACTACCCGGACTACTACTCGTCGTACGGATACAGCTACTACCCGGACTACTACTCGTCCTACGGCGGCGGCGGTGACTTTGGCTACGGCTATGGTTACAACTACCCCGGCAACTTCGGCTATGCTAGCTACGGCTATGGCTACCCTGGTTACCCTGGTTACCCTGGCTACCCTGGCTACGGCTACGGCTATGAGTCCGCGACGACGGACGGTGCTGAGGCTGGCCAGAAGGAGTCCGCCACGGCGCCTGCTACCGCTACGGACGTTGCGTCCAACAAGTCGGCGGAGAAGGAGGACAAGACGCCGCCCAAGGAGAAGGAGACCACCAAGTCCGGCGCCACGGACAAGGCCAAGGGCAAGTAAGTGGAGTGAAGTGAAGTGAAGTGAAGTGAAGTGGAGAAGGCCGCTCGCTGGCGATGATGAGAAGTAGACGAGGGGCGTTCGTTGGTCATGGAGCAGCTAGCCCACGGAACCTGTAGTTCTGTAGAGTAACATGCGTGTAGTAGCGTCGATAAAAAAACTGGCGGTGGTAGCAATACGACGTCAATGGTTGTCAACTTTCTCGCTGTACTCAGTTTGCTCGTCCGATGCGCTAAACCGTTTCGAACTCGAATGGTGACTTAGTAGAACATGTGGAGACGTTTGGCGTTTGGCACGCCCGATTTGGATGACCCTTACTTAAGTATACCGAACACGCTTCGCTTTGCTACCGGTAGTCTCATTTGACACTCGATAGCCTTTGCAGCCGTACCAAAACGCAGCTTGGATTTTTGTTTTTGTTTTTTGTTTTTGTTTTTCGGGTTGTCGGTGCATGGCCGACCGATGGCGCTGCCTACTGAGAAGCAGCTATCAACACTCTCAACAATGAAACGACCACTAACTTTGGCCTGGATGGACATGATGCTGGCCCTATTGGAGAAGCGCTACGGCCCAGACGCCTCGCCGGCAGTGTACTGGCATTGCTTGTTGGCCGGATAGTGACAGCTTCAGCTAGATTGATGGTACGTCTGCATCGTAGGCGCGAGAGACTAGACTAGTTGACTAGTTACGGAGTGGGCGACGGCTGTGGATGCGGCCTCAAACCCGAGTGCCCCAAGCTCTCTCATCTTCCAATTCGCCTTCTCCGCCACACTCGGCCACCAACCAACCCCAAATCAACCCACCGAATCGCACGTTCATCTCTGACATGCACTCCAAGATCGTTGCCCTGTTCAGCCTGTGTGCCGCTGCCTCCATCCTGCAGGCGGCTGACGCTGGCGCTTCTCCTGTGGGCGTCTCGCCGCGCCGCCACCTCGGCTCCAGGGAGGACTACGGACACCACCCGCGCCACCACGACCATGACCATGACCATGACCACGACCACGACCACGGGAAGAATCACCGCCACCACGATGACAAGCACCCGTCGCACTACTATTACCGTCGCCGTCTCGAAGACGCCAAGGCCACCGAGTCCAAGGACTACAAGGACGACCATGGCAAGGACGACTACGACTACGGCAAGGACCGCAAGGATCGCAAGGACGGCTACGAGCACAAGCGGTACGGCGGTCACGACGACTATGACGATGACTACAAGGGATACGGCTACAAGAGCTACGGCGGAGACTGCGATGACTACGGAAAGGGTCGCCACGACAAGGACGACTACAGCTACGGCAAGGCCTACTACGGCAAAGACTACTACGGCAAGGACGACTACAGCAACGGCAAGGCCTACTACGGCAAAGACTACTACGGTAAGGACGACTACAGCTACGGCAAGGACGTCTATGGATACGACGGATACAAGTACGGCTCCAGCTACTACCCGGACTACTACTCGTCCTACGGCGGCGGCGGTGACTTTGGCTACGGCTATGGTTACAACTACCCCGGCAACTTCGGCTATGCTAGCTACGGCTATGGCTACCCTGGTTACCCTGGTTACCCTGGCTACCCTGGCTACGGCTACGGCTATGAGTCCGCGACGACGGACGGTGCTGAGGCTGGCCAGAAGGAGTCCGCCACGGCGCCTGCTACCGCTACGGACGTTGCGTCCAACAAGTCGGCGGAGAAGGAGGACAAGACGCCGCCCAAGGAGAAGGAGACCACCAAGTCCGGCGCCACGGACAAGGCCAAGGGCAAGTAAGTGGAGTGAAGTGAAGTGAAGTGAAGTGGAGAAGGCCGCTCGCTGGCGATGATGAGAAGTAGACGAGGGGCGTTCGTTGGTCATGGAGCAGCTAGCCCACGGAACCTGTAGTTCTGTAGAGTAACATGCGTGTAGTAGCGTCGATAAAAAAACTGGCGGTGGTAGCAATACGACGTCAATGGTTGTCAACTTTCTCGCTGTACTCAGTTTGCTCGTCCGATGCGCTAAACCGTTTCGAACTCGAATGGTGACTTAGTAGAACATGTGGAGACGTTTGGCGTTTGGCACGCCCGATTTGGATGACCCTTACTTAAGTATACCGAACATGCTTCGCTTTGCTACCGGTAGTCTCATTTGACACTCGATAGCCTTTGCAGCCGTACCAAAACGCAGCTTGGATTTTTGTTTTTGTTTTTTGTTTTTGTTTTTCGGGTTGTCGGTGCATGGCCGACCGATGGCGCTGCCTACTGAGAAGCAGCTATCAACACTCTCAACAATGAAACGACCACTAACTTTGGCCTGGATGGACATGATGCTGGCCCTATTGGAGAAGCGCTACGGCCCAGACGCCTCGCCGGCAGTGTACTGGCATTGCTTGTTGGCCGGATAGTGACAGCTTCAGCTAGATTGATGGTACGTCTGCATCGTAGGCGCGAGAGACTAGACTAGTTGACTAGTTACGGAGTGGGCGACGGCTGTGGATGCGGCCTCAAACCCGAGTGCCCCAAGCTCTCTCATCTTCCAATTCGCCTTCTCCGCCACACTCGGCCACCAACCAACCCCAAATCAACCCACCGAATCGCACGTTCATCTCTGACATGCACTCCAAGATCGTTGCCCTGTGCCGCTGCCTCCATCCTGCAGACGGCTGACGCTGCCGCTTCTCCTGTGGGCGTCTCGCCGCGCCGCCACCTCGGCTCCAGGGAGGACTACGGACACCACCCGCGCCACCACGACCATGACCATGACCACGACCACGACCACGGGAAGAATCACCGCCACCACGATGACAAGCACCCGTCGCACTACTATTACCGTCGCCGTCTCGAAGACGCCAAGGCCACCGAGTCCAAGGACTACAAGGACGACCATGGCAAGGACGACTACGACTACGGCAAGGACCGCAAGGATCGCAAGGACGGCTACGAGCACAAGCGGTACGGCGGTCACGACGACTATGACGATGACTACAAGGGATACGGCTACAAGAGCTACGGCGGAGACTGCGATGACTACGGAAAGGGTCGCCACGACAAGGACGACTACAGCTACGGCAAGGCCTACTACGGCAAGGACGACTACAGCAACGGCAAGGCCTACTACGGCAAAGACTACTACGGTAAGGACGACTACAGCTACGGCAAGGACGTCTATGGATACGACGGATACAAGTACGGCTCCAGCTACTACCCGGACTACTACTCGTCGTACGGATACAGCTACTACCCGGACTACTACTCGTCCTACGGCGGCGGCGGTGACTTTGGCTACGGCTATGGTTACAACTACCCCGGCAACTTCGGCTATGCTAGCTACGGCTATGGCTACCCTGGTTACCCTGGTTACCCTGGCTACCCTGGCTACGGCTACGGCTATGAGTCCGCGACGATGGACGGTGCTGAGGCTGGCCAGAAGGAGTCCGCCACGGCGCCTGCTACCGCTACGGACGTTGCGTCCAACAAGTCGGCGGAGAAGGAGGACAAGACGCCGCCCAAGGAGAAGGAGACCACCAAGTCCGGCGCCACGGACAAGGCCAAGGGCAAGTAAGTGGAGTGAAGTGAAGTGAAGTGGAGAAGGCCGCTCGCTGGCGATGATGAGAAGTAGACGAGGGGCGTTCGTTGGTCATGGAGCAGCTAGCCCACGGAACCTGTAGTTCTGTAGAGTAACATGCGTGTAGTAGCGTCGATAAAAAAACTGGCGGTGGTAGCAATACGACGTCAATGGTTGTCAACTTTCTCGCTGTACTCAGTTTGCTCGTCCGATGCGCTAAACCGTTTCGAACTCGAATGGTGACTTAGTAGAACATGTGGAGACGTTTGGCGTTTGGCACGCCCGATTTGGATGACCCTTACTTAAGTATACCGAACACGCTTCGCTTTGCTACCGGTAGTCTCATTTGACACTCGATAGCCTTTGCAGCCGTACCAAAACGCAGCTTGGATTTTTGTTTTTGTTTTTTGTTTTTGTTTTTCGGGTTGTCGGTGCATGGCCGACCGATGGCGCTGCCTGCAGGGAAGCAGCTATCAACACTCTCAACAATGAAACGACCACTAACTTTGGCCTGGATGGACATGATGCTGGCCCTATTGGAGAAGCGCTACGGCCCAGACGCCTCGCCGGCAGTGTACTGGCATTGCTTGTTGGTCGGATAGTGACAGCTTCAGCTAGATTGATGGTACGTCTGCATCGTAGGCGCGAGAGACTAGACTAGTTGACTAGTTACGGAGTGGGCGACGGCTGTGGATGCGGCCTCAAACCCGAGTGCCCCAAGCTCTCTCATCTTCCAATTCGCCTTCTCCGCCACACTCGGCCACCAACCAACCCCAAATCAACCCACCGAATCGCACGTTCATCTCTGACATGCACTCCAAGATCGTTGCCCTGTTCAGCCTGTGTGCCGCTGCCTCCATTCTGCAGGCGGCTGACGCTGGCGCTTCTCCTGTGGGCGTCTCGCCGCGCCGCCACCTCGGCTCCAGGGAGGACTACGGACACCACCCGCGCCACCACGACCATGACCATGACCATGACCACGACCACGACCACGGGAAGAATCACCGCCACCACGATGACAAGCACCCGTCGCACTACTATTACCGTCGCCGTCTCGAAGACGCCAAGGCCACCGAGTCCAAGGACTACAAGGACGACCATGGCAAGGACGACTACGACTACGGCAAGGACCGCAAGGATCGCAAGGACGGCTACGAGCACAAGCGGTACGGCGGTCACGACGACTATGACGATGACTACAAGGGATACGGCTACAAGAGCTACGGCGGAGACTGCGATGACTACGGAAAGGGTCGCCACGACAAGGACGACTACAGCTACGGCAAGGCCTACTACGGCAAGGATGACTACAGCTACGGCAAGGCCTACTACGGCAAAGACTACTACGGCAAGGACGACTACAGCTACGGCAAGGACGTCTATGGATACGACGGATACAAGTACGGCTCCAGCTACTACCCGGACTACTACTCGTCGTACGGATACAGCTACTACCCGGACTACTACTCGTCCTACGGCGGCGGCGGTGACTTTGGCTACGGCTATGGTTACAACTACCCCGGCAACTTCGGCTATGCTAGCTACGGCTATGGCTACCCTGGTTACCCTGGTTACCCTGGCTACCCTGGCTACGGCTACGGCTATGAGTCCGCGACGACGGACGGTGCTGAGGCTGGCCAGAAGGAGTCCGCCACGGCGCCTGCTACCGCTACGGACGTTGCGTCCAACAAGTCGGCGGAGAAGGAGGACAAGACGCCGCCCAAGGAGAAGGAGACCACCAAGTCCGGCGCCACGGACAAGGCCAAGGGCAAGTAAGTGGAGTGAAGTGAAGTGAAGTGGAGAAGGCCGCTCGCTGGCGATGATGAGAAGTAGACGAGGGGCGTTCGTTGGTCATGGAGCAGCTAGCCCACGGAACCTGTAGTTCTGTAGAGTAACATGCGTGTAGTAGCGTCGATAAAAAAACTGGCGGTGGTAGCAATACGACGTCAATGGTTGTCAACTTTCTCGCTGTACTCAGTTTGCTCGTCCGATGCGCTAAACCGTTTCGAACTCGAATGGTGACTTAGTAGAACATGTGGAGACGTTTGGCGTTTGGCACGCCCGATTTGGATGACCCTTACTTAAGTATACCGAACACGCTTCGCTTTGCTACCGGTAGTCTCATTTGACACTCGATAGCCTTTGCAGCCGTACCAAAACGCAGCTTGGATTTTTGTTTTTGTTTTTTGTTTTTGTTTTTCGGGTTGTCGGTGCATGGCCGACCGATGGCGCTGCCTGCAGGGAAGCAGCTATCAACACTCTCAACAATGAAACGACCACTAACTTTGGCCTGGATGGACATGATGCTGGCCCTATTGGAGAAGCGCTACGGCCCAGACGCCTCGCCGGCAGTGTACTGGCATTGCTTGTTGGTCGGATAGTGACAGCTTCAGCTAGATTGATGGTACGTCTGCATCGTAGGCGCGAGAGACTAGACTAGTTGACTAGTTACGGAGTGGGCGACGGCTGTGGATGCGGCCTCAAACCCGAGTGCCCCAAGCTCTCTCATCTTCCAATGGGATCCT